CGTACGTACGTACGTACGTACGTACGTAGTACGTAACGTAGTACGTACGTACGTACGTACGTAGTACGTACGTACGTACGACTACTACTACCTACGTACCTACCTCCTCCTCCTCCCTCTCTCTCTCTCTCTCTCTCTCTCTCTCTCTCTCTCTCTCTCTCTATTCCAGGTCTTGATTATGCTAGTGGTGGTTATCCTTGTGTGCAGGAATGCTTGTTGTTCAGGAAAGCAAGGAGGAGATAAAAAATTGAAAGAGACTTTTAGCCTACTGAAGCTCATTATTCATCGATAAGGATCTAAAGTGTTCTGCATTGAGCCGTGTCTTTAAGATTTCATTTCTTCTCCAGATTAAGCATTTGGCAGTGCATTGTGAATGGTTTTTGGTTTCAGCCTGCAAAGGAAGGGTTACCATGGAATATCTCAACCATGGTTGAGTTGTGATGTAGTATTCACAGTTAGTTCATCCAGCTTTGTCTTTCTAATGCTTTGATTTATGCAAAATGCTTTGTATAAGGCTGCCATACTTTGAGGACATCCTCTCTGTATCTCTTTCATGTTTATACGTGTTTAGAGCTTCTTAGTGTAGTTTTTTCCACAGCGTTTAGGTGCAGTGAATTGATTAGTTCTAATTATACGAGAATGATATGGCTTCTCATCTCTCTTTCAGTGAAGATTCATTGTTCTCCTTAGAAATGTGAACCTTCCTCTCCTTGTATGCACTCATGCATGCTTTAAGTGAATTGCTTGAAGATTCACTTTCCTTTTCATATATGCACTCCCTCGAATCGTGAACTTCCTCTACATGTATGCACTCATGATGATATGGTATTTCCATTTGATGCTCTAGTTTTCACCAATGTCAGAGCCTGCCTTCATATGCTTTGCTTTATTCTAGAGAAACGTCTTCATTAGAAGTTCTTGCTATTTACATCTTTTTCCCTGTCAATTCATGTACTCTTATGGATCTGCAGTTAAGATATTTGGGATAGGTCTGGGTGAGTTTACATGGGCTAACAAGATAAATTATTTGATGAAGATGCCATGGGACTCTTTCTTAACACGTTTGGTGACCATGCCTTTTCTGGACGTTTTTTATGTGAAAAACACCACAAAAAAATCTGCAAAATTTGATCAACTTTAAGAAAAGAAGAAATAGCTGGTGTTATCTTGGTTTTTGATTTAAATATAATAAAGACAACCTGTCCTTCTGTGTTTGTTAAATAAAGATGATGGGGAATTGGGAGGATGTTGTGTGTATTCCATGCAACTGGTAAGAATTTTGGGACAAAATTGTTACGTGAAGGAAAAAAGAATATGGTCTGCACATGTTTGATCTTGCAGCAGTACACCTAGTTAAGGGGCTTTCATGACATTTAATTTTGGTGTAATAAATTCTGAGGATAATCTGAAATTCAATTTTTATATCTAATTATAAAATTTTAAACTATAAAATTTGTTAAAATCAAGTAGATCTATAAATATATGAAAATCTTAAAAATGGACTTTTAGATAATTTGTTGCAAGATGCACTATTTCTGAGACTCGAAAATCTTTTTTTTTTTGTCATACTCGTACATCTCAATGTTGAGTTGAACAATTTGAGGGTTTTTCAACATTAAAATAATATTTTCTGATGGATTTTTGAAGGGGATATGTAATTCTACATTTTAAGCTTGCTTGACCTTGTATAAACTATTTCCTTCGAATATTTAGGGAGACTTTCGTCGCTCATTGCTGCTGGTTGTAAAGCAGCAACAGCGTTGTCCAAAACCAATGGTCTCTCGATCGAATTTTGAGCTTATGCTGCTGATTTTATGACTGAAATTTTGATCAAATTTTCTTTATCAAAATTATGAGATCTAAAATTCATCTGATTGATAAAAATCAAATTTGTGATTGAAGATTTTTGGGAAACCCAATGATTACATGTGAGGTAACCTATTGAATGATCACATAGAGGGAAATCAAACCGTATGAATAGAAAGCTAATATAGAGAAGCATCCTAATACATAAAATCAAACCCTAATACAGAAAATCAATAGAGGGTAGTACTCATCAATGGAAAAACAAGGACAAAAAGAACCATCCAATGAGACAAAGATGCTTCGAGCATTTTCATTTGTGATTATGGAATATTTTGCATACTCATCGCATACCCAAAAGAAATATCATAATCTTCAATTAAAATCACAATTACCTCTATGTGATCTTTGGCATACTCATCGCATACTCAAACAAACGGTAGAAATGGAATATTTTCCCGTAATTCATAGTATCCAAACGGCCTCTAATAAGAAACTGTGAGTGAACCATATGCCAATGAGCCAAACTTGTTCTCAAACAAGTGCAACTAGGCAGTATTCACTAACATGAACAAGGGCTTGAGCACATCAATTCCCCATTCGCAGCATTTATGTGCAGTACACAAGCTCCGTTTTATTTTTTGGTGCGTAAGTGGGGAGATGGCCCCATCCCTTGGTAGGAATTGTGTTGCAAATCGTCAAGCGTCAACCAATTAAGCTCCGATTTTTTTCTACATAAGCTCTTATCTTTATTTTTTAAGTAGGAAGTGAGAGAGATGGTGCATGTGCAGATTCTCCATGTACTAGAAACAAATAATTTGAGGTAATAGAGACTGTCTAATTTTTTAAGGGCTATATCTAAGTGTCACAAAACTCGAAACTCATTTTCTTTTTTCTTTTGGAAATGATCATCTAGTAATTCTGTGGTTCCCAAAACTTTAGACTAATTTTTTTTTACTAGATAGGTGTTTTGAGCGACGGAGTAGATACACAATATATGCTCTCGTAGGAGCATAGTATTCGTGTTCTTGATATTTTATTCGGATTTTATTTTATACCTCCAATTAGAGGAAATAAAATCACATTTGATTTAAGTAACCACTTTTTTTACCCTGCATAGTATAAAGTGGGCATCATATAGAAACCTCACCCTTGACATCTCCAAACATTGTACAAGGATATTAACAAAGTAACAAAAGCATACATCAATGAGCCAAATAATAATAATAAATAATTAAAAAAAGAATGTCATATATACAAAATAAACAAATCTAGTGCTTGATGGTCAAGTATTTAACTATAGAGCTTGATGGTATAGTATTAGTTAAAGGAATTCATAAGAGAACTTGGAAAGAATTAACCTTTACCTCAAAAAAGAATATGAGAAATTTATAAGTGAAGTGATGAAGATAATCCAAATTAAAACATCATTTAGATTCCCTAGGAGATGTCAACAAGACTAATGAGTCAGCAGCAATGACCTGTGAACTCAAGAGTATGTAAAAACAAGGAAAGATCTTCATGATATCATATTACTCATAGCACAAGCACTGACATCAAACACAGCAACACATAGGACGCATGCTTGCAATGATGTCTGTCGTGTATATATATATGGAGAAGCGGGAGAGAGAGATGCCGCTTTTCCTGAAGGTAAATATATATGCGCGTATATATATAAATAGAGAGAGAGAGGAAGAGAGAATCATGTGGCTTTCCATGAAGAAACAGGTGGTGTATCAGCCCAAAGCCAAGTTGTTTTCATGTCTGCATAGCGATCTCCCTTCACTGCATCACCAGCAGCAATACCTTCGAGTTCTTTTATTTCATCAGGTGTAAGAGAGACAGACAAGGCACCAACATTTTGGTTGAAGTTCACTATTTTGGTGGTCCCTGGAATTGGACACACATCGTCTCCTTGGTGATGGACCCATGCCAATGCCAGCTGAGATGGGCTACACCCTTTCTCAGTGGCTATCTTCTGAACACGCTCAAAGACACATTTGTTGTGCTCCAGATTCTCTGGCTGGAACCTTGGTATGAGCTGCAAATCAAAATACAGCTTTAGCGATAAGTTTTCTGTTCAATAGTTACAGCTTCATCAATATAAAATGGCGACTCAAGAAGAATCCGTGTTGATACATGATTCATAAATAGACCTTTTTTCAATAGTTTTATGTTGGCTTGATGGTTCAACGATCAGAATAGGTGCCTTCTAAATGCAGACTCCACCAATAGGGAAAGAGTTTATTACATTTGTTTATCTCTTTATTATATTTTTTTTTAGTAGGACTGACTGCTAGCTCACGAAATGATTAAGAAGGAACAATGAGCAGATTTCCTAGATTACATGCAACAGAACAAGCAACAATTTTCTAGCTCATGTGGTGACGCAAACAATCATCTTCATCAAGCTGTTTCTTTGTCCGGTTCAATTCTTTGTTGAATATATAAGTGTGACTTCAAAGTTGTTTCAAAATTATTTCACTACATTTGAGCTATGAAGTCATGGTGGCATTATCCCAACAATGAAAATTTGATATGCATAGTAAAAAAATGGAAATCTTTTCCATCTTTGTTTCTGGATGAAGAAATTGTGATATCTTCTACTTGACATGCTTATAGTTCGAAGAATAGCCTTCTAGTGTACTCCATGTTCAACCAACTACAACCAATCATAGCATCTTACATTTTAAAAACCAAATTCAAAATTTAAAATTTTGCTCTTCACTAATACTCCCACATGCTTCATGAAGAGGTGAAGGCCATGCACTTTACGAGAACAATTTGTATCTAATGAAATCCTGATGGATCTACTATATCACAAGCTTCTATGCATTCAGATAAAAAACAAGACAAAAAGGCCATGCTGCTTTGGGAAAAGATATGCCAGTATAGTTAACCACAATAAAGTATATATAGAAAGTGAACTATACCATACAAGTATAAACATTAGACACAATTCAAGCATGTCAAAACTTGGCTCGTACGCGCACGCACGCGTGCGAATGCACACACACACGCACAGAGAGAGAGAGAGAGAGAGAGAGAGACCTTTCTGAAGTCACTATCTCCGAGGCTATCAACAAATTTAGGCTCTTAAGAAAAGAATCCTCCGCCAAGTGGACTATATGCAACAATCCCTATGCCAAGCTCTCTGTCACAGAGGATCAGAAAGTTAAATATTAAAAATAAATAAATAAGAGAAAAAAACTTTGATCTAACAGACCCTGGAATTACTAAAAAACCTGGAAACCACTAACCTGCAGGTAGGAACAATCTCATCTTCAACATCCCTTGTCCACAGAGACCACTCTATCTGCACTGCCGTTATGGGATGCACAGCATGAGCTCTTCTAATGGTAGAAGCAGAAGCCTCAGAAAGCCCAATATACTTTATTTTTCCTTCTTCTACTAACTTCTTCATCTCCCCAATCTTCAACATTAATAAAAATAATATTGTTTTCTTAGTACTTCGAAACACATTTATCCCTTCATCAATGCATAAAGTAATGCCTATCTTAAGGAAGAATGGATCTATTACAATACATTTCAAAGATTCTGTCCACATACATCATGCTAAATCCCATATTAAAAACTTAAAAATATTTATCCTGCAAAATTGATAGAAATACCAAACTGACATGCCCTAGTCAGAGGACATGTTCCACACAATCAATTCCATTGTCATGTTTGAGATCATATTAGTGTTTTTTATAAACATGCAACATAGTTTGAGCTGTATTAATGTCGCTGAGGATGATTCAAATTTTTTGGTGATCATCCTCATGGAACAAATACTTGGGGATTGGCATTTCCAAATTTCCTTAGGTGACTGAGATCCAAACAAATTAATATTTGAATTTTCATATGCTACTTCATAATTCATCTTGTTTTTGGGGTGGCTAGGTAGTTCCCGTTTCTTTTTGGAATCTTTGTGTTTTTTTTTTATTTTTATTGGGGGGGTTGGTGTATGGAATCACATTCTGATTTTAGAGTCAGATTTCCTTGCTCCCCAAATTTGGATACCAAAATAGGGTAAACATAAATAAGAAAATCTTATTGTCTTCTTATGGCCAGTGGTTCATAGGTATCACAATTAAGCTGCTTAGTCTTGTATTTATAGCACCAAAAGATGAATGGTATTAAAGAAGCTTACTGTGAAAAATTACATATATTGACCAGGTTAGTCAAGAAAGATATGAAATGAGCTATGCGGATCAACTAAAATGGACCACCACTTATCAGCATCTGTCTTCCAAAGTGTAGATGCAGGAAGCACGGTTGGAGCCTGGCAATCCCCCCTTTAAATCTCGCTCTAGCGATCCTGGAGCCTGAGTGGAGCTCGCTCCACACATCAAGGACGTTCAATCACTATTTTATAAGAATATTGATCCTTGACTAGAGGGGGTCTTGATTGCTTTGGAAGGGTGCGACTCCATTGAAAATAGGGTGATCATGATTTGAAAAGATCTCGATCCTGGAGAATGTTTCAAAAGTTCTTGAATTTTGAATCCCATGTCCTTGATTTTGTGCCTTTTTTTTTGCTTTCTGACAATTTTCTAACTAACAACCACCTTAGGATGGTTTTAGTTTTCGTTCGCAGCATCGTGGTTTGCATTAAGTGCTTGACAACCAGCAAACCAATGAGGAATGACTTGAGTCTGCTCAGACCCAGGAGGCTCCCCACTCGCGGATGGTCCCAAAGAGGGAAAATGCCATGGCTGTCTAGAAACATGTGGTTCTCACCATAGCAAATCACTCTGTCTAGTCCAGTTCACAGTACGCACTAGGGTGATCCCTAAGTTATGCTCTTACATGGCCCTCTAGTTTCATTTTTCTCAATTGTTTGTAGGACTCTCAACCTATAGAGATTGTGAATGTGTGCAGATAATACTATAAAGTGAATTACACATTTCTTAATATTTTAATTCACTTTAAAATATAAACATTATACACACACAAAACACGCACATATATCAAGCTGCTGCTAAGTACTTCCAAGATAGGGAGCTTCAGCCATGGTTGATCCTAGGTTCCCCTACAGATCCAGATGCCGCATCCACTCCCTCAACAACTATGGTTCAACGTTGATGGTGAGCAATCTGCTAGCTCAAGTCCTGGAACATGGACATTATAGAACCTAGAATGTCTTCTAGTTAAATTTCTCACTTCAGCAAAGGATGTCTGGGTATGTCTTCAATTGATCAACTAGAGTTAGAAGTGTTAACTTTCCATAGTAGAATAAAACTGGAAACTATAGTAGAAAATCAATATTATACTCCTTATTTTCATGTCATCTGAGATCAAAGAATTAGATCTATGATCAAGTAGTTAGGAAATCTTATAGGAGGGCTTGAATGAGAGTCCTTTCTCTCTGTAAAAATCAGGCGCCCTATGATCTTTGTGATGGTGTTCTTTTGTCAGCTATTGTTGATTCGTCGCTATTACATTAAGCAAAAGAGAGTTCTCTCTCCAGATCAAGTTTGTTTTTCCTTTGTGATCTATGGACCTTTTATTTTGAAATAAGTCAGTAACTATCAGATTGAAGCTTGCGACATAGATTGATGATGCCTCTGATTTTTCAGGATTAAAGCTTGCAATATAGATTGATGATGCAGCTAATTTTCTAGGTCAAACACTCATCATTCAGATTCTGAAAGATGTGGACTAGCCAAATTCTTATGATTCTGAAACCTAAATTAATGAATGGAAACAGAGTATGCATTGGCATCTCAGTTAAACATACATCTATATCTCATTGTTGGAGAAATATAAGCATAGTTAATAACCACAAGAAAAAAGAACAACAAAACAACTACCAAGAATCAAGGGACCAAGTAGATTAGGCAGAAAAAACTCTCCAACTAAACAAGAATATATGTACGGAGTCTTTCTCTCCTAAATGACTAAATCATCTGAAAGGAAACTGACTGGAACCCTCTAGATTAATAAGGCCTACCGTAACTTCGATGGGGATCCTGGTATCGACACGATGCTGGTAATAGAGATTGCTGCAATCAACATCCAGCCTCTTCAAGCTCGCCTCGCATGCTGCCCTCACATATGCAGGGTCCCCGCGAATCTCCCTCTTGCCGTCAGCAAAACTGATTCCAAACTTGGAAGCCAACTCCACATTCTCTCTCCTTCCCTTCAAAGCCTGCAGCAAAGCACAATGTCCATGACCAATTGCAAAATCCAAAACCATTTGAGTTACAGTGATGATGGTACGCGGAGAGACAGACCTTTCCAAGGAGGATTTTATTGGTGAAAGGGCCATACATATCAGAGGTATCGAGGAAGGTGACACCAGAATCGATGGCATGGTGAATGAGTTGAATCATGTCAGGCTCTGGTTTTGAGGGGCCATAGAAAGCGGACATGCCCATGCATCCCAGACCTTGTGCCGAAACCTCAAGCCCCTGCGAACCTAACTTAATCCTCCTCATTTTCACTCTCTGCACTATTGATTGCCACTTCTGAGTGCGATGATCTTATTTATACATGAGATTAGGAGAGAGAGACTGGCCGTTGTAGTTTTCACAGAGAATTTCCGAAGCCCACATTGATTTTATAAAGAAGAGAAGAGTTTCTTGAGCTGTATTTAAGAGCACTAACATACTTCAAGTACAAAGGAGAGAGAATGTGCAGAGCATGTGAAGCGTGCGATGCACATCTACGAGGGCGTGGGCGTGGGCGTGGGCGTGGGCGTGGGCGTGGGCGATAGGGCGCTTGATGATGCAGTTTACGCTTGGCGCATGAGGCGCCCATCACTCGAGCCCGTACGCGAGCTTGACTTGTATGGGGGAATCCAACATTCATCTAACCGTTGATGTGTTTGGGACATCCAACGGTCTTTTAGCTGTTTATGAGATGGAGGCAAAATGAAGTTGTAATTCGTGTCATCAAGAGAGTTAAATTGTATATAACTTTTAGCTATTAATGGTGCATGAAACCATCCATTACAAATGAATTAAGGGGCTGCAATAGTTGTTAGTGGTGTACGTAACTTGTAATTGTTGGTGGTACATGTAACCACTACTACAATAAATGAGCAGCCACCTTATAGCTCTATATAATTGGGCCCTATCCCATGCGAGAAGTATACTTAGAACAACTTTTGGGCCTCTCAACAACAAATCATTCTTTGTAATTCCAGTAAGAAAACCAGTAGGCAACTCTCTCTCTCTATTCGATTATATCTCTTTCTCTATCTAAACTATCAAGACTCTGGTATCTCATGTGTAGAGCTTGGGTGCATAGAGATTAAGAACATTGTAAAAGGCATCTATGTTTTCCTGTATCTCGAGGACGAATTGCTCTTCTTATGCACATCAAATACGCTATCGAAAGAGGACAAATATCGTCTTGAGATAGCCCTCTTGTGTGGCAAAAAACAAAAAGAAATTGAAATCCTATTTTTAAATATCGTACCATTTTCTCATAATCGTAAAATTTTCTGGCCCTATTTCACCCAATCAATCTCCAATACAAATCTTCATCAATCTCTTAAAGGATCATGACATACCACATATGGACTCAAAGAGGAAGAATTAGGAATACATAATCAAGTTTTATCACTGAGAAAGGGGACTTCGAAACTTGCAAGGAGAGTTACAAGGAAATAAATGCCTTAAATCAAGGAGTAGCAACTCAAATTGAGAGTGAATGGTCAAGTAAGGCCTCCGTCTTTGGTAGTACTTTGCATAGCCATAAACTATGTCATCTCAAACATGGAATCAAATCGACAATCAACTCACAATATAAAATAAAAATAATCGGTGCTTGAAAAGCATAATATCTTAATATTGAATAGAGACCGTCCTATTTGAGATATACAAATGCTAAAGTTTTTAGGGACTCAAAAACCAATTTTTCTAAGCACGCGAATGTTGATTCTAAAGTGGATCCCAAAAATGTTAAGTCTAAAATCCTCTTTAGTTGCTCTTGCACCCCATGAATAAATTTACAATGTGCTCCGACCTGAGCTCTATTGTCCAAATACAGTGAGTCTATTAATCTTCCAAAAATTACTAACTTTTACAATTAATTATCATCATCATCAGAGTATTTTTCCAACTATTTGGAGTCGGCTATATGAATCCTAATCTGTCATTCTGCTCTATCAAAAGTCACACCTTCAACTAAGTCTATCAATCTAGATAAAAGAATGAAACCCTACAGTTGGGGTCTATCCATATTCGATACTAAATTCGAATAACCTCCACTGGGATTAATAGTGGTTAGCTTGTGAGACTTTTAGAATTTTATGATGGAATCCAATCTATTTTATACATTCCTCTAAAACAAACTCATAAAAAGGCACACGACATGAGTGAATTGAGAGTTATGAATTCATCAATGAAGGGTGTCAATTTGGACCCTTCATTGAGTTCCTTGAATTTTTCTACTAATCATATGTTTTTATTTTTAGCTGAAAATTTGACTAGGACTCATCAAATTGAGTCTAGTTTTAAACAAAAATAGTTTCATGAAGAAACTTCTTGTAGTTTGAAAATATGGTCATTTTATTGAAGGGTGCGTAAGTATTATTTTTTGCAACAAAAACTATTTCAATGACTTGGAAGTCAGGATTTTATTTTTATTCTTAACATATGTTTTATAGCCCACACTAATTTTCTAGACTTCCATTTTGAGTATAGTTTCTAATAAAATTTATTTAACAGAAAAATAACAATGAAAAGAGAAGAGTAAAAATTTTGAATTGAAGAGAGGTCATAGTATGTTTTCATTGAGACATGAATAGCTATATTTATCACACCTACTTAACAAAGTGATATGTGGCTTGTAGAAACATATTTGTTGCCATTTTATGTTTACTTTTAAACAAAATAGGTTTGAAAAGGAAACTCTTTGTGGTTGGAGAGAAAAAAGAATTTTACTAGATAGTGTTTATCTTGGAATTCTGTAGTATAATTTATTTTGTAACAAGAATATCACTAATTTATTTCTCTGAAGAAAAATATTTTTTTTGGATTACACCATGATGTTATGCTTTAGTTTTGAGTCTAGTTTTCAATACAAGAAGGTTTCAGGATGAAATTCTTTGAGGATTAAGAGAAACAATTTTTTTATTGAGAGGTAGGCAATTTGATTTTCTGCTGAGAATTGTATTGTGACATGAACGTCACTAAACCTTAGACCCACTAAATGGTGTGATTTATGGATGGAACTAAGTACTACTTTGTACTTTTGAGTCTTTCAATATTCAAAAGGATTTAGAGATAAACTATTTATGAGGTGACAGATATTATATTTTATTATGGGATGCTCATATTATATTCTGCAGTAAATTAAAAGATGGGACATGTTAAGACACATCTTTGGATTCATCATAATGGAGGCCTTTTTAAGGCCCATTTAAAAGTTTTAGTGTGTCATGAGTATGGTTTATACAAGTAAAACTTCAGAGAGAGGTAATACAGAGTTGACTAGATGTGACACTCTATGTGAAGAATGTTTGATATGGGAATAACAGAAAGAAGAAGAAACACTGTACCTATAAAAGCATATTGGTTTTTTCGAAATGAATGGATATGTAGAGAGACTTGGTGGTAGTATAGAAAAGTTAAAGATGAGTGGGATAATCAAATTTATGATATTTGAAATGATGGGATGAAGAAGAGTATTTTTCGCGGTATGAGAAAAGGAGAATCTAAATACTGAAGATATTAACACTTTATAACATGTGAAACAAATGACCAATAAATTTTCTATCAGTTGCGTACTCTTTCAAGACCACAAAAGGTGGTCAACAAGAAAATGCAAAGAACAAAAAAGCTAAGGTATCATACTACATGGTTTTGAGGTATGAAATATATTCCACATTACATGGTAAGTTCATATAGGGAAAGAGAATTTTATGTTTCATATACTTCTTTGGTCATATTTTGGTTATTTGTTTTATAAATATGTATGGAGTGTAAGTATATTAGACGATAGGTGTTAACAAATTTGAAAGAGCTGGTTTGTAAATACCAAGTGGTTTTGTGCCTCCTTGTGCTTGAGTATGAATTACTTAAGGTAGTGGTACACATGGAGATGTGGTTTGATCAATGACTATGATCCTAAAAAAAAAACACAAGCGATGAGTTTGACTTATTCAAATATGTAAGCAAGAAGGGAGTGTTCTAATGGAACTCGGTCTTAGTAGCCATCTTCCTATAATGTCTAGTAATATGATGTGTTGCATGTGATGATGATCGCTTGATAAAGCCTCTATATTTGTCAAAATGAAGTATTTTGTCAAGATTTTTATAACCATTATTTAGTCATGTTTTATGTTGGATAAAATTATAATGGAAAAGTATATCATGAAACCATTTACCTTTGGTACAAGGTACCATTGGATGTGAAATTGGATGGTTGCATTTATTTCATTGACCAAGCTCAAAGTTAAAAAAAACATTTCTCGAACTTTGTAACACACCTAATGTAACAATCCTAAAATTTAAAATATATATATATATATAGATATATATATACTTATATAATAATAATATTAATGGTGTTAACAGAAATAAATACAAAAATAAAAATAAAAATAAATAAATAAATAAAATAATAAGTATATATTAGTAATGATAATAATAATAATAATGCTAATATACCGTTAGGATATTGTTGCTTTTATATTAATAATAATATATATTAACAATAAATAAATGATATTATTGTTAATATACTTGAGGGTTCAATTCTCCTTGAGTGGACCTTAGGTCCACCACTTAAAGTTTAAGGTACACTTTGCATATGAGGTGTATCGTTTTTATTAGCCTGTCTCTCTCTTTCTGCGTTTTTGGGTCAAGGGGCTTCTCTTTTTCTCTCATTAACAACTCATAGACCCTCCCTCAAGAAGCATCCTATGCTTCAACAAGAAAGGAGATTCTTTCGCTTATCTCCTCTACCCAACCACAACTCTCTGTACTGGACCTTCTCCATTTATAACCTCTCTCTCTAACCATGGTCTATGAACCATACACACGAGATTACGATAACACATATGATAAGCCCACATCCAAAACGGATGCTCCCTCAATTTCAGAATTAATGTAAGTGACATCGTCTTTCTAAAAAATAGTCTGCTTTTAATAAATAGTGATATTTCCATCCAGGATCTTTATTTTATAAGTTTTGTGTATAAGTGACAATATAAGTGACTTCATTGTCTCGAAAAATAATCCATTCTTTTTTAAAATAAAATGAAATAATTATTTCTGCTTATTATCATGAATTTTAAGCGCGATAAATTTTATGCACACACGACCTCATTATCTTGAAAATTAATCTTTTTAATAAAAATTGTGATATTTTATCTATGTTAGAAATTTCAAATGTTGTAAATTCTTAGAAAAATAAATTTACTTATTTTTCTTGTCTATTGTTAGAAAATTTTAGATACTATCAAATTATTAGAAATAAATGTGATATTTCTGCTTTTAGTAAAATTGTGAGATTTCTTTCTACTGTTTTAAAATATTTAGACATTGTGAATTTCATGTGCAAATGACTGCCTTATTATCTGAAAAATGATATTTTTGTATTTGATTATAGTATTGTTGTGAAATGTTTAATTGCAAATTAACATCCCATAAATTGTGATAATTCTGTATTCTTGAATTTCTATAAGAGTTTTTCTATACATATTAGATTGGCAATTATGCTAGAATGTC